GGTTTGAAACCTGTTAGCCACCAGTGTTGCACAAGTTAGCCACCAGTGTTGCACTAAGGCTGCAATCCTGTGTTCCATGAGAATAAACCCGAGTGAATAAAGATGCTTTTGCTACTCAGTAAACCTGCATAGGATAGTGCTGCAAGCTTTCAGAAGCAAGGACTGGTGATGATGATGGCACTTCCCAAAAATGAGGATTGGATCCTATCTAAATTCTGTCCACGGAAGCCAATGCTGCCCAAAATGGTCACCCAAATGGTGCTGCTGAGGGATGGAGGGGTCTTCAGGAGCAGTGTGAGGAGGAATTTAAGCTCTGTGTAGGGGATCAGCAAATATTCCCCCCCCATAAGTGGGTCTTTTCCATGGGATCCAACCCAGTTATACTTCATGACATGAAAAGCATGTAATATAATGTTGACAGACTCAACATATTTCTGGTTTATGCATAACAAATAGAGATGATCCAGTATGTCATGTCATGTATATTGCTTTACCTTGGGTTACATTTTTACCTTCATTTATTCTTTTTACTGTAATTATTTGATAGTAAGAAATTCAGTTTTAAATTACTGTGCCAACTTTGAGATAGCGTTTTATGCTAGTTTTATTGCACTCTTGTGCGGGGAGGGCGGGGTGTAAATGAAATAAAATAAATAGTATCAGATGGGCCGCTATGATAGTCTGTTGTGCCAAAATAAACTGGATTCTTGTGGCATCTTAAAGATTAACAGAACTGTGCTCTTGGGCTGCGGTCACATGAACTAAGTAATCCACATTCAGTCCAATTTCTAACTGGATTTTACTGTATGAACTGGCAAAATCCATTTGGCAATAGATCCAGAGGAGTTAGCCGTGTTAGTCTGTTGCTACAAAATAGTAAAAAGCCCAGCGGCACCTTTAAGACTAACAAACTTTATTGTAGCATAAGCTCTTGAGAAACACAGCTGTGTCCTGGCTGTTATTGTAAAGTCTCTCATGCCACAAATTCCCAGTGCAAACAGAGCCTTGCATTTTGACTGTACATGGTGGTAGGTATCAGGGCAGGTTAGGGCTTCTGCTCTCTGAACATTTAAATAGCTTACCAGTGAGCGTCCTAGCTGAGCTGGCAGACATGGTCTTTGGTCCGGTGTTGATACCTAAACCGATTGCTTTGGGTGATTTCAGTATTCCCACCAGTACTGCCTTTTGCCTGCTAAAGGCTCAGGAGGACTCCATGCCTGCTGTAGCACCCATGAGACTCAGCCAGGTTGTTCTCCTGCCCAGGGCATGAGAGCAATAATATGCTAGATCAATTTTTTTTGTACCAAGCAGGTTTCTGGTGATGAAGTCAGGGAGACAAAAGTAAACCCACACATCCACAAATTGTGACTGGACTTGATACCCAGCTTTTATTTTCTGCTAACCAGCCGCGAAGCCCAGTCTCACTGCAGCAATAAAATGATTCCCCGACGAATTGGACCTTACACTACTTCTGCTAGCAGAAGTAAAACAGTTCAAAGGTTCTAAGAACTAAATCAGCTATCTGTTTTCAGTCTTATCAAAACTAATACATGCATGAAATGTTTTCATTTCAAGCTGTTATTAATTTTATCTCTTTAGCCGGTTTGCCCTTTTAAATTCTTAATTTTTGTCAGCAAATAATTTTTTTACAAAAGCAAATAATTTTTTTTACAAATTCCGTAGAACACATACATTCTCTCATGGGCTTTACATAAGGGTATGGCATGGGGGATTAAACTGAGCTTTGAGTAACCCCACACAAATCCCACAGTGGTAGTGACTGGTCTCCTACTTGCAAACCCTTTAAGTCCAATAGGCTATTTGAAAGCTGTGATGCTCCCAAAGCAGATTTCTTTGTCTTAAAGGCAATTGCCAGGAGAAAGAACTTCCACTGTCAACCTGGTGAGTGCTTTTATGAAACTCTGAGGGAATCCTCTGGTCGTGGTCAAATGGTTACCTGCTGAAGGCACAAAGAGGTGCTGTTGTCTACCCTTGAGGGTCAGATTACAGTGGTAATCCCCTGGAGACTTAATAGATCCTGCTGGTTTCTAGAATATTACTGTAGATTTTGAGAATCTCATTGGTGACTACTAAGGTCCTGGTTGAGGCATGGAAAAACAGGATTATAGAAAGCAATAGCTGCTTTCCATTGTCATCTCCTTCCCTGTATTAGAACTTTAGCTCCTTGGTTTACTGGAAAAATGAAGAGCTCAAGAATGGGGAAAGTTTGAGCACTATTAGAGGAAATTTGTGCTGAGAGACAAAGCATGGCAGAGACCTTAATTTGAAAGTCTAGGCTGGGTGTTGAACTCATTTGTTAGAAGGGCCAGATCTGACATATATGGGACCTTGTGGGGCCAGGCCATGCGTGTCATAAAATGTTATGCCAGGTAGCGGAGATATAAACTTTATAAAGGATACAGACAAACCAATTAAAGATTTTTTAAAAACTTTAAACACAAACATGCTTAAAACTCTTGCAATATTTTGTTTATTTAACAGTCTTTGATAACTTACTCCTCCCAAACTCCCCCCGCCCCTTAAAAGATGCCTGCCTAAAAAGGAAAGGAGAGGGAACAGTGGGATTTGGCAATGCAGTTTTAAAAAATAAAACATCAAGAAAAAGCACAAGGATCACAGCAGAAACTAAAAATATAAATTAAAAATATAAAATGCTCTGAGCCTAGGAAAACATGAAATGGCTATGCATTGCAAGCTTCTCACCTCCCCCCCCCCAAATCTATTCAGAGTGGCAGTGGCTCTCCAGTGTAATGTTCCCCTTTGGCTGTGGGTTCCCATGTTAAGAGTACTCAGGCAGCCATTCTCAGGTCCATTCAGCAGAGACAAAGTGGCTCAAAACATTAACCCTGTATTTGCAAGGAGACAACTCCAGCAAGCAACAGCTTCAACTGCCATACAAACACTGGAAAGTTAAACTTCTTGAGGTCCATTCCATTGAAATACATTGCAGCACAGACAAAGTTGCAAAGAAAATGTGGAATGGAACTGGAATAGCAGCCACTAGAGTGAAATGACAGTCCCTGGGAGTAGCAGAAGCATTCTGGGATTGGAATGAGGGCCCCCAGAGTGGAATTCCATTCCTAGAATGCTGCTGCTTCTCCCAAAGACTGTCATTTCACTCTGTGCCCTGTCATTCCAGTCCCAGAACACAGCTCTGTTGCTAGGGTCCGTCATTCCACTCTGGGGGCTGTCATTCCAGTTGCAGAGGACTCTTTCTATTGCTAGAAACAGTCCCAGAGTAGTCTATCTGGGTGCAGAGACCTTAATGGGAAAATCTATTCCAGATTTTCTGTGCAATTTTGCAAGCCCAGAAGAGCTTCCTGCCAGAGCAGGCAAAGACATGACCCAAGGGAGCTGGGAATTTTGGTAGCCTCCAGCTTCAAGGGGTGAAGGGAGGAGGGGGAAAGAAAAGAGCCCTGGGCTGGATTAAAGCCATGGGTGGGCTGGTTCCGGCCTGCAGGCCTGAAGTTTGGCACCCCAGTCTACAGAATGGAGATGACAGTGGCAAAGTAGCCCTTCTTTTAATCCAGGCAGATTGTACAGAATGGTGCAGCGTTTGCTAATTTTTCTTGACTATTTCTGATCATTGCATTATTGCTTTTAAAAGCTCCACTTAAGTAGAAGAAGAGATTGGATTTATACCCCACCCTTCACTACCCAAGGGAGTCTCAGAGCGGTTTACAATCACTTTCCCTTCCCCTCCCCACAACAGACACCCTGTGAGGTAGGTGGGCTGAGAGAGGTCTCTCAAGAACTGCCCTTGAGAGAACAGTGCTGAAACAACTTATGACTGACCCAAGGTCACACCGTCAGCTGCATGTGGAGGAGTGTGGAATCAAACCCAATTCTCCCGGATTAGAGTCCACGCTCCTAGCCATGCTCCTAAATATTGGATTCTGTATAGAAAGCAGCGGGTTACGAAATGAATTCATTCACTGGTGTGAAGTTAAAATGGAAAGAAGAATTGACATGAATACAAATGTATTTATATGCCATACAGCAAAATGTATTCTGATGTAAAATGATAAATAAGATTTGTACTTCTATTGAGATTTACTGAGAGAAACTGCTGAAAATACTAGGCGCCACAATGAATTTTCTAACCACCTTGGTGAACTTATACCTGAGATTTGTCGTAACAGTAGAGTTGGATGTCATAAACATGTTGATGATACCCAGCTCTGTATTCATTAACCTCCCAGAAGCAACTGTCTTCATTTTAGGCAATTGCTTTGGCTGCCTTGGTCAAGAGGCTAAGAAGGAACTCAGTAAAGTTGAATCCAGACAAGACAGAGGTACTGTTGGTGAAGAAGACTGATCATTTGGAGGAAGTTGCACTGCACATTTCAGATGGAATAGCTCTGTTTTGAGTGGATTGTATGAAGAACTCAAGGGTGCTATTAGATTGGGCACTGTTGATGGATAACCAGAACAATGCTGTTACTAAAAGCCCCTTCTTTCAACTATATCTGACTGGCTCTGAAATTAGTTCCCCTTCTAGAATCCGCTAACTGGTTATACTCATCCATGCTACTGTAACCTGGAGGGTACTTTACATGGGGCTACCCTTGAAAGCAATAAAAAAAATTGGTTCAGAACACAGCAGTTTTATAACCGAAGTTATAAATTATGACTTTTATGTTAAAGCATAAAAAAGCTGAGGCTTGTTAAGAACGTATGTATACTTCAATTTTTCCATGCATTTTTGTCTTTTTTTCCCCCCCTGAAAGTTTTTATGGCTTCAGCATTTCCACTCACAAACGGCACTTCAGCATTACTGATTTTTATATTGGTCATCAAGGTTCTGAATTGGTACAGGAAAATTTGCATCACTAGCCTTATTATGACTTGATGTCTTCCTTTAGTTGTTTTTGAGCAAGCCCCTTTGACCAGTTTGCCTGCTTACTCAAGCTGTGGTTATAGAACAGTTCCTAGCAATTTCTTGTAAATGCTACACTTTATTTATTTTCTTTTTTCAGGGCGCTAATGCCTCAGCTTTGGAGAAAGAGATTGGTGCAGAACAGTTTCCAGTCAATGAACACTATTTTGGCTTAGTAAATGTAAGTGCTGTATTTTGCTTGTATTGAAATATTAAGGGGGAAGGGATTGGGCTGAATCATTGTGAGAGAAGTTGCTGAAATACCACTTGTTTGTGCCTATGGGTTCTGGTATAAGGAAAAAGTATTGTCATGAAAATGATTGCAGTCCTCAATTAAATATAGTTTATGTTTAAACTAGTGTGCACTGTGTCAAGTTACCTTGTGTTGAGGCGCCAAAATGCTTTTTCGACTGTGTTCCAGAGGACCTTAGAGTTCATTTGGAATTCAGCGGGAGGCCCTCGGAACACCAGTAATGGCAGCCAAGCTTTCCTGAAATATAGCTTGCCCATCTCATTCTTCCCCTGCAGTGAGCAGCCAGATGAGTGTTAGATTTTTTCTAAAGCATACTTGCTGTTCGTGTGAGACAGTTGTGAGGCTCCATGGCCTGTGTGTAATTAATCACATTTTTATTCTGCCCTTTCAGCATGCTTCTTTCTTCCTTCGCTTTTCACATAAGATCCCTGATGAGGTTTGCTGAGCTGAGAGGGAGTGTCACCCAATTGAGCGTTATAGCAATGTCGGAATGTACGCCTGGGTGTCCTGTCTTGTCCCCACCTTCTAAAACATTTGTTTCCACTTCCGTGGTGTACACTCTAGACCATGCCTGGATTCTTGTCGCACTGCTCTGGGTTTTTGTGGCAGGTGCTCACCTGCCAATGTGGAAAAGTTTCCTTGGCACTATAAAGAGCTGGGAAATCTCTGTTATGCAGTTAAAAAGCAAAAGGAGAGCATATATTCAGTAGGCAATGCTGCCATGAACTGCTACTACCATGGTTTGCTTTAGCAAGGAAGGAATTATACTGAAAGTGAAATCCTAGCGAATGTCTTACATTGGGGTAGTTGACTAGAAACTAGTTAGATAAAAAAAAATGTCAGGTGTTTAAGCAACTTATAATGTGTTTTCCCCCAAAATATGGTACTTCTCTGCTCTTGGAACGATGCAAATGCAGTGTTTTGCATCTCTTAAGTGTGGTTGAGATAATGGGTTCATGTGTTCAAAATTTTCTCTTCCCTGGCAAGAATCTGCCTTGCCAGCCTTAACCATGGGTTCACATTTCTTTTCAACAAGTGACTACCCTAATCACAGGTCACATCTAAACCAGGGTTTAATTGCCTTTAGAAACCCTGCTTAAGTGGGAACCATGGTTGGCATTTTTGTTGGTTGAATGATCAATCATAGTGACATTTGACAAGAGAGGGCAAAGGGTTGTGTGTGACTTTGCAGCCCGTTTTGGTTTCTTAATCATGCTGAAGAGATCTGCAACGTGACCTCTTTGCTGGACCCTTGTGTTATACAAACTGAACTGTTCAATGGATGTAGCACAACATGATGATAAAAGTTTTTCTGATGTGTTTTCCAAAATAATGATGATGGTTTTGCTGATGCATAGTTATGCATCATGGAAAGGAACCCAATGGTTACCGGATGTTTCTAAATATAAAAGTGTACAACAAAGAAACCAGATGGCAATAAACATGTGCCTATACTGCTGACTGTTTAATCTGCCACTAGTTGATGGGTAAGTTACACTTCAGTACTTCAGAAAAAAATCAATAATAAATGTCTCAGCAAATTTCCCTTTGTTTCATGCCACTTGCTTACTGGGCAAAGTTTCAGTCTGAGCTAATAGATCATTTCCTTGTGTTCCAGTTTGGAAATACATGCTACTGCAATTCGGTTCTTCAGGCACTTTATTTCTGTCGTCCCTTTCGAGAGAAAGTCTTGGCGTACAAGAGTCAGCCTAGGAAAAAAGAGAATCTGCTTACCTGCTTAGCTGATCTTTTTCACAGCATAGCCACTCAGAAGAAAAAAGTTGGAGTGATACCTCCAAAAAAGTTCATAACAAGATTGCGAAAAGAGAATGGTAATACTTTGTTTTGCTCTTTGTACTAATGAAATAGTTCTGTCCGTTTTACGCAGTCAGGGAAGGATCTACTGTCTCCCCCCCCCCTTGTTCAGAAATAGGGATTTTTGGTGGTGCTGATGATGTTCACCTGCCAGCTCTTAAAAAGGTAAAGGTTCCCTTTCTCGAAAGCCAGTCGAATCCGACTCTAGGGTTGCGGTGCTCATCTCCGTTTCAAAGCCGAAGAGCCAGCGCTGTCCGAAGACGTTTCCGTGGTCATGTGGCCGGCATGACTAAACACAAAGGAGCACGGAACGCTGTCACCTTCCCACCGAAGTGGTACCTCTTTATCTACTTGCAATTTCTTGCTTTCGAACTGCTAGGTTGGCAGGAGCTGGAACTAGAGACGGGAGCTCACTCCGTCATGCGGCACACTCGGGTCTTGAACTGCCAGCTCTTAGGCAGCTGCTAATTCTGTCAGTGTTTGTCATAAATGAAAATAGTTTGACTTTTGGTAGTGGCTTAGTAGATTTGTTTTGTGGTGCGAAGGGCATCTATCTGAATGATGATCTAGTCTGGAAGGGTGAAACAATAGTGTATGTGTGTTAAGCGCTGTCATGTCCCTTCCAGCTTATGGCGACCCTATGACTTAATGACCTCCAACCAGTGTTCCCTCTAAGCTGAGTTAGTGTGAGCTAGCTCACAGTTTTTTAGCCTTCGGCTCACACGTTTTTTTCTTAGCCCAGGAAGGATGGCGCCAGAGCAGACTAATTTATGCAGTAGCCAAATCGCTGGCTCACAACTTTAATGCCGGCAGCTCACAAAGCAGAATTTTTGCTCACAAGACCCCATAGCTTAGAGGGAACATTGCCTCCAACACATCGTATTGTTAACACCCTTGCATAGTGAGTGGCTTCCATAACTGAGTCAGTCCATCTCATGTTGGGTCGATTAAATATTCTTAACTAGGAGTTTGGTCTGCATGCTTACCCCATGGCTCACTGCACTTGCAGTATTATAAGGCCTGCTCCCTTGTTCATTCTGCAAGCGAATGCTGTAATCAGTGTTTTGCCCTTCTCCCGTACTAAGTATTTTCAGTACATTGCGTTTGACAGCAAATACCTGTTCTTTAAAAGAAATCAGTTAGGACACCTGAATGTAAAAACATACTGTATTTGGATTTTAATTAGTTTGATTAAGAAACCAGCCAGGTGTGTGGGTGGGTGTAAAATGCCATCAAGTTGCAGCCAATTTATGGCGACCCCCCTCATGGGATTTTCAAGGCAAGAGACTTCAGAGGTGATTTGCCACCTTGGTGGTCTCCCATCCAAGTGTCAACCAGGGCCAACCCCTGCTTAGCTTCTGATATCTGAGAAGATCAGGCTAGCCTAGGCCATCCGGGGTCGTCAGTTGACATATTGAACAGTAGTTGCAGTTGCAGGAAAATGTGCGTGCTTTAGGCACCTTTATTTCCATTCAAACAGCCCGCCTTCTTCTCCATCTGTGTAGCTGTGGCTTTTCTTCAGACTTTGATCCTGGCAAAGGTCTGTAAAACAGACCCCTGTAAAGAGGTTCAGTGGTTGCCAGGACAACCGTTGCTTAAGGAAGTACACAGTCACACAGAAAAGAGTTATTTTTGAAGCATAGCTCAGAGAATTTAAGTAAAACGTGTTTGTTTTGTAATGAAGGGAATATTCTTCACTCTCCCTGTCATTGCTAACGGCACTTTCCTGGCTTCTAGCAAATAAACTGTTGCTTCTGCTGCAAAAAGCAGATATGTACTAGAGATAATCAGGATGTTTTGATTTCCTCCATTTTTGGCACTGCATCTCCCAAAAGCATCCTGAAGCTGGAGACTCCTAGCTTTATTTTCTCATGAGTTATGCCTGCCACAGACAGACATGCACAGCCTTTTATTACAGATTGTAGAGAGCGTGGTAGCCAAAGAGTTATTCACATGATCATAGGTTCAGTTAAGGTTCACAGAGCCTTTTACCTAATTAGCAGCAGAAAGTTTATAGTTCTTCATTTCATTTCGTTTTTTATCACCTTTTAGATTCCAAAAGCTGATATTGTATTGTATTATTATGGGTGTGATGGCCTCTTTCAGGGGTATCAAACTCATTTCTTATGAGGTCCGGATTTGACATAAATTGGACTTTGTTGGGCCGGGCCATGTGCGTCATAAAATGTAATGCCAGGTAGCAGAGATATAAACTTTATAAAGGACACAGAAAAACACAATTAAATATATTATAGCAGCTATTCCATTGGAGCCCCACACTAGGGACTAATATTTCTCTGTAAAACTGAAGTTTCTTGAACTTGTTGAACTTTATATTTTAACTGTGGTTAGTCCCAAACTCCCCCCCCCGAAATATAAACTACAAATATAAATGGTCTGAGCCTAGGACCCAGGGGAAGCACATGAAACAGCTGAGCATTGCAAGCTTCTCCCCCCCCCCCCGGGCAACCCCAGAGGGGTGGCAGTGGCTCTCCAGGGTCTCAGAGAGGGTTTACATGGTGGTTTGAGATAATAATTTTGGGTGTCCTCTTCAGCACTTGTTCTGCTATTATTCTGTTGGAGCTCCACATTAGGAGGATGTGTGTGTTAAAACTGGTATTTCTCGGCAAAACTGGAGTCCCTTGAGTTTGCAGAGCTTTTAACCCTGACTGGTCCCAAACCTTCCCCCCCCCCCATAACATTCCTGCCTAAACTGGAATGGTGGGGGGATTATGGGAGTTTGCAAAGCCAGTTTTAAAATAAAAAAGAAGCACAAGGATCACAGCAGAAGGAACCCCCCCCCCCAGCTCCTACCTGTGATGATGACTAGGGAAGCTTGACAGACCTGCCCTCTGCTTCCTGCTCTGAGGCAGCCCCACCCTGAGCTCTCTGCCAAGAGGCAGCCCCACCCTCTGTTCATTATACTCCCACGTAGCTCAAGCTGAGAACAGCGAGGTTGGGCAGGGGAGGGGGGAGAAAAGAGAGCTGCACTCCTGTGCCAGATTAAAGGCCTGGGTGAGCCGGTTCTGGCCCGTGGGCCGCAGGTTTGACACCAGTGGCATAGTTCAGTTGTGCACCACTAGTTAAACTGTACCTGGTAGAGCTTGTGGTACTCGAAAAGTTGGCAACTTTGCTTCTGCTTCATATATTTTGTCTTATTTAATCATGCTTAAGAGATATTAGAATCCAACCTTTCAATATCATAACTTGCATACTTGATTTGCTTTCTTTGAGTCACTAGTCCTCCAGTGGTTGGGAGATGTGTTCTGCTTGTTCAGTGCATTCTGCAGAGAAGTTGTGTGTTCTCTGCCTGTAACTTCTTGAACAAGGCTAGCAGAATATCATTGAGTGCAGTGTGTGACAGGGAAGGATTTTTATGTTGCAAGACCTGAGCAGTGGAGCTGTAATGTCATTTTGTGGGATGTTTCTTGATCTTGCTTCAAGTTTCAAGTTTCCTTTCAAGAAGGCCAAGCCATCCAGTAGTAGGTGTGGAAATCAGGTTTTGTCCCCACTGTAATTGATGTCCCCTTTATATTTGTTCCCTGTAGGAAGGAGTGGCAGGCATGAACTTGCATGCAAAAAATGTAAATAAATTTCACCCAGGAGACAACTGAAGTGTCAAATAGTTTCTCCATGCCCTAGTTACGAAGAATCAAGGAAGGTGTTTTTTTACCACATTACAGTGTGGAAAATTTTGGGAGACTGAGATGGATCATTAAGAACTGTCTTTTATTTAGATAGGGAACATGGCCTAAAAGGAAGTGATAACTCGTTTTATCATCTTATTGTAGAGCTTTTTGACAACTACATGCAGCAAGATGCACATGAGTTCTTGAACTATCTGCTGAATACAATTGCTGATATTTTGCAAGAAGAAAGAAAGCAGGAGAAACAAAATGGTCGTCTACCTAATGGCAGCATTGACTGTGAAAACAATAACTGCCCCCCAGACCCCACGTGGGTTCATGAAATCTTTCAGGGAACGTTAACGAATGAAACAAGATGTCTCACTTGTGAAACAGTAAGTCTTTTGTGTACATCGCTCTTATTTCACACACTTCTCTTTAGAATAACCATTATGATTTATCACTTTTGGCTAAGGTCAAGCGTGTATGTGTAATTACGGTTTTATAGCCTAACTGCTTGTGTAAAACGGCACCTCTGATAACACTCCTTCATCTGTGTTTTTATTATTTGAAGCTCCTAAGTTATCAATAGACAGGAGGACCTGGTGTGATGTGGTCGTGGAGAGTCGGACTCAACTGTGCAACTGAACAACAACAACAAATGTATCAATATGATAGATGATGGGCTTATTCATATTCCTGGAATCCTAGTCCTAGTACATTTGTTATTAGGTCATATTGAATGTATACTGAGTAATCCACTTTGACTCTTGCTGAGAAAGGCAGACTGAAAATATAGTAAATAATGAAAGAGCTGAGCAAAGTGGATGTGAGACCAATTCAGGTATTACCTATGTAAGTATTCAATACAGGAGAAAACACAGAACTGTTCATTTTACAGTGTAACTCAGTGGAACAATACAGTGGCTATTTACTTCCTTGGGACACTTCTAGCTCATGTTTCTCCTGTTAAAGACCCAAAGATCTACACTGTTCTGCTGGTGTGGCAGTTATGATGTGGGATGGGAATGGGACTTTTGTCGACTCCCTTATCCCGCTGCAGACCCCCACTGTGTCTCCCATGCTGTTGCTGAGAGTCACGTGACCCCTCAGGAGCAGAATATCAGTAACTCAGTGGGCAGCAACAGGTAGGGAGAAGTCCTGCTGTGCCAGTTCCATTCTTTTTGTGGTGTTTTGAATCCAACCTCATAATAAATAACAGCTGGGTTTTTAAAAATGAAATCCTGTCTATTTAAAACAGATACATCTTTTCAAAATCATATATAGCTGCTAGCCCTAGGCCCTCTTGAAATGTCTTATCCAAATATTTCCATTTGTGCCGAGTAATCACAAACTGAAGTATTAATTTTGTGAACAAATGCTAATTAGGGCTCCAATTAAAGGAATGACACAGTTTCTGAAACTTCTCTGTATTAATTTATGGATAAGTAGCAGGGGTCTTCTGAGTACTAGCTGATTTTTTTTTTTATTGTCATTTGCTATAGGGGAGAAAGTAATAATAAAAGATATGTGTTTCACTTTAGTGCTACGTTCTCCTGGAGTTATACTTGAGTATTTGCACCTGGGCTTAGGCTAGTGGTGGGGGATTTGCGGGGCATTCCACGACATCCCCAATGTGATGATGTCAACCAGAAGTGAAGTCATCACACCAGGGACATTGTGCAGGGGATGCTCTGGTTTAAGGGCAAACCTCTATGGTAAAACCAGTTTTGCCCTTAAACCAGAGCATCCTCGCACAGCGTCCCCAGTGTGATGACATCTCTTCCAGGTGATGTCATCACATCAGGGACTTCACACAGGGACGTAGCTGTTAGGAGTGGGGGAAAGCCCCCAAAACCGGGGGAACTCCCACCCCAGCCTGGGGACTGGAAAGCCTAGCTTAGGCCTTTCTATTTAATGTTCTATTGCCCACGTTGCTGGGAGGGCGGGGTATAAATTGAATTAAATAAATAAATAAATAAATATTGGTCCCCTGGTTTGTCTGCAATACTGATATGATTGCTCCTTGATGCCCCCTCTAACTCAAGATCTATTCCCTTATTTTCCACAGAACTTCAACTGATGGCAATAAAATAACTTGTCCTCATGAGTGTACCTCATCCAAAGCTTTATTGAGTGCTTCAGAAGCAGGGCCGGTCCAAGGTGTTTCTGCGCCCTAGGCGAGGCCAGCTTGTGGCGCTTGCACCCCCCCGAGGTGATGCCAACCTTCTGGTGGGGCCTGGAGACCTCCCAGAAACATTCCTGGGAGGGGGGGTGCTGGGCGCCACAAGCTAGCCTCTCCTCTGCCCGGGTCAGCTTCCCATTCGCCTGGCCAGAGCCCCGGCTCGAGCAGTCCCCGGGGGGAGGGAGGGGGTCTTCCTTCCTCCCTTCCCTTCCCTTCCCTTCTGCCACAGCCGGAGCAGGAGAGAGGGGTGGCCGGACGGACCCACAGAGCTGCAACAACCCGCCTCACCAACTCCTCTCCCACCACCCCCCAGCATGAGTCTCCCTCCCCTACCCCCCTGGTGGGTGGCCCGCTTGGTGGCCGGCGGGGAGCAGCAGGAGCTTCTGTGGGCCACCCCCCACCCCTCGAGGTGCTGCCGAGCGACCCCCCCAGCCCAAGCTTCACCCTAACCCCGCCGTGTGGTGGGTCCCCCCCCTCTCCGGCAACCCCTGCAGGTTAGACGGCTGGCAGCCAGGAAGTGTCAAGACGGGGGGGAGGGGAGAAACCGGCCCAGGAGCCCCCACCCAGCTTGCGCAGGGGGCCCCAAGCCACCCTGGAGGAAGGGAGGAGGAGCCCAGGCGCCGGGGAGGAACCCGAGGACCCCCCGGCTAGTCCCCTGCCACCGCCGCCGCCCCCCCGCTCTTGGCCCCACCTGGCCCACCTTGCAGGGTGGCTGTTCTTGTCGTGTGGGGGGGATGAATCCCGGCAGGAGCCTCCTCCTCCTCTGCGGTGCCTCCCGGAGCTCCCACTGACTGCCTTCCAGCGGTTCTGGGCACTTCGCGACTGCCATGTCTAGCTGGTGGTGGCGGTGGCGCATGCCCAGTGCGGCTCACTGAAGCTATGCCTCCCCCCCGCATCCGTTGCTCGCCCACCCGGGTCACTGGCACCAGCAGAGGGTTGGGGGCTAAGCCGGAGAGGGGGGACGGGGGCCCTCCACAGCCACCCCCACGTGGCGCTGGGGTCCAGTTTGGCGCCCTAAGGGCTGGCCCGCGCTCTAGGCAAATGCCTAGTTCGCGTAGCGGGTGAGCCAGCCCTGTTCAGAAGTCATAAAGTAGCAGTGTTGCAATGGAACATCTAGGGTGTTTTCCTCATGGGAATAGGCTTGTGTGTTTCCCCCACTGCTGCTGGTATAGCTCAGTAGCAATGGGGTGTCTATATGACAGCTTTTTCATATTCTCCATGTACCAGTCTGCTGGCAATAGCCATCTTTATTCTTGTACTATTGGGGCTTTTTGAAGATTTAAAAAAAAAATAAGTAGCTGCATATTGTGGCCATTGCATGATTATTATAATGTTGTAATAATGGGTGTATCAGGTTCTTTAAATTCCCAGCTTTCACTTTAAAAAAGCAAATATCTGGCCCCTTTCCTTGCTGAGATATATGGGGAAAGGCATTTATATACATGAAAAAAATGAAAGGTGGGAATTCAGAGAACCTGACATATGGATTTTAAAAACAATATTCAGTTTTTAGTTTTGAACACACACACCCCCGAAGGGGGAGATGGCTGCTATGGGGATGAGGGCAAGGGAAATAGCTCCCACATGGGTGGGACTGGCAAAATCTGCTCACACAGCAGCTACCCAGCCTTTGCTGCAATATTTCCCAAAACTTTGCAGCAAAGCAGGTTTGGGAAAGATCATAGAAAAGCTGAACAAAAGTATGGAGGTGCATAGAAGCACCACACTGCTGTTGCAAAGCAGGGAGAAAAAACTTCCAGACAACACTGAGCCCAACGTAGATAACAAGCAAGTTGGTGCTGGGGCTTTTTGAGGTTTTTTTTAAAAAAAATCAGTAACTGCATATCGTGGCCATTGTGTGATTATTATAATGTTGTAATAATGGGTATATCAGGTTCTTTAAATCCCCAGCTTTCACTTTAAAAAAGCAAATCTCTCGCCCCTTTCCTTGCTGAGATATAAGGGGAAAGGCATTTATATACATGAAAAAATGAAAGGTGGGAATTCAGAGAACCTGACATATGGATTTTTAAAACAATATTCAGTGTTTCGTTTTGAAAAGGCCTCCCTCCCCCCGAAGGGAGAGATGGCTGCTATGGCGATGAGGGCAGGGGAAATGGTTCCCACATTGGTGGGACTGGGAAAATCTGCTCACACACCAGCTACCCAGCCTTTGCTGCAATCTTTCCCAAAACTTTGCAACATTTGCTATAGGGGAGAAAGTAATAATAAAAGATATGTGTTTCACTTTAGTGCTACGTTCTCCTGGAGTTATACTTGAGTATTTGCACCTGGGCTTAGGCTAGTGGTGGGGGATTTGCGGGGCATTCCACGACATCCCCAATGTGATGATGTCAACCAGAAGTGAAGTCATCACACCAGGGACATTGTGCAGGGGATGCTCTGGTTTAAGGGCAAACCTCTATGGTAAAACCAGCTTAAAACCATAGAGTTTTGACCTTAAACCAGAGCATCCTCAGCGTCCCCAGTGTGATGACATCTCTTCCAGGTGATGTCATCACATCAGGGACTTCACACAGGGACGTAGCTGTTAGGAGTGGGGGAAAGCCCCCAAAACCGGGGGAACTCCCACCCCAGCCTGGGGACTGGCAAGCCTAGCTTAGGCCTCTGATCCATCTCCAGTGCCTAGCTATTGTGGAACTTTCTATTTAATGTTCTATTGGTTCCCTGGTCTGTCTGCAATACTGATATGATTGCTCCTTGATGCCCCCTCTAACTCAAGATCTATTCCCTTATTTTCCACAGAACTTCAACTGATGGCAATAAAATAACTTGTCCTCATGAGTGTACCTCATCCAAAGCTTTATTGAGTGCTTCAGAAGCAGGGCCGGTCCAAGGTGTTTCTGCGCCCTAGGCGAGGCCAGCTTGTGGCGCTTGCACCCCCCCGAGGTGATGCCAACCTTCTGGTGGGGCCTGGAGACCTCTCAGAAACATTCCGGGGAGGGGGGGTGCGGGGCGCCACAAGCTAGCCTCTCCTCTGCCCGGGTCAGCTTCCCATTCGCCTGGCCAGAGCCCCGGCTCGAGCAGTCCCCGGGGGGAGGGAGGGGGTCTTCCTTCCTCCCTTCCCTTCCCTTCCCTTCTGCCACAGCCGGAGCAGGAGAGAGGGGTGGCCGGACGGACCCACAGAGCTGCAACAACCCGCCTCACCAACTCCTCTCCCACCACCCCCCAGCATGAGTCTCCCTCCCCTACCCCCCTGGTGGGTGGCCCGCTTGGTGGCCGGCGGGGAGCAGCAGGAGCTTCTGTGGGCCACCCCCCACCCCTCGAGGTGCTGCCGAGCGACCCCCCCAGCCCAAGCTTCACCCTAACCCCGCCGTGTGGTGGGTCCCCCCCCTCTCCGGCAACCCCTGCAGGTTAGACGGCTGGCAGCCAGGAAGTGTCAAGACGGGGGGGAGGGGAGAAACCGGCCCAGGAGCCCCCACCCAGCTTGCGCAGGGGGCCCCAAGCCACCCTGGAGGAAGGGAGGAGGAGCCCAGGCGCCGGGGAGGAACCCGAGGACCCCCCGGCTAGTCCCCTGCCACCGCCGCCGCCCCCCCGCTCTTGGCCCCACCTGGCCCACCTTGCAGGGTGGCTGTTCTTGTCGTGTGGGGGGGATGAATCCCGGCAGGAGCCTCCTCCTCCTCTGCGGTGCCTCCCGGAGCTCCCACTGACTGCCTTCCAGCGGTTCTGGGCACTTCGCGACTGCCATGTCTAGCTGGTGGTGGCGGTGGCGCATGCCCAGTGCGGCTCACTGAAGCTATGCCTCCCCCCCGCATCCGTTGCTCGCCCACCCGGGTCACTGGCACCAGCAGAGGGTTGGGGGCTAAGCCGGAGAGGGGGGACGGGGGCCCTCCACAGCCACCCCCACGTGGCGCTGGGGTCCAGTTTGGCGCCCTAAGGGCTGGCCCGCGCTCTAGGCAAATGCCTAGTTCGCGTAGCGGGTGAGCCAGCCCTGTTCAGAAGTCATAAAGTAGCAGTGTTGCAATGGAACATCTAGGGTGTTTTCCTCATGGGAATAGGCTTGTGTGTTTCCCCCACTGCTGCTGGTATAGCTCAGTAGCAATGGGGTGTCTATATGACAGCTTTTTCATATTCTCCATGTACCAGTCTGCTGGCAATAGCCATCTTTATTCTTGTACTATTGGGGCTTTTTGAAGATTTAAAAAAAAAATAAGTAGCTGCATATTGTGGCCATTGCATGATTATTATAATGTTGTAATAATGGGTGTATCAGGTTCTTTAAATTCCCAGCTTTCACTTTAAAAAAGCAAATATCTGGCCCCTTTCCTTGCTGAGATATATGGGGAAAGGCATTTATATACATGAAAAAAATGAAAGGTGGGAATTCAGAGAACCTGACATATGGATTTTAAAAACAATATTCAGTTTTTAGTTTTGAACACACACACCCCCGAAGGGGGAGATGGCTGCTATGGGGATGAGGGCAAGGGAAATAGCTCCCACATGGGTGGGACTGGCAAAATCTGCTCACACAGCAGCTACCCAGCCTTTGCTGCAATATTTCCCAAAACTTTGCAGCAAAGCAGGTTTGGGAAAGATCATAGAAAAGCTGAACAAAAGTATGGAGGTGCATAGAAGCACCACACTGCTGTTGCAAAGCAGGGAGAAAAAACTTCCAGACAACACTGAGCCCAACGTAGATAACAAGCAATAGCTGTTTAAGAGCATTTGTTTATAGTATACTAAGCGAATGTCTTTCTCCCTGGTGGACGTATTGCCATTACAAAAGCCAAGAGGAAATCCAGAAAAGTGTTCTGTCTGTGAGATTAGTGGAAAAGAAACCAGCCTTTTCAGTTTTGATTCAAATTATAAAATCATACTAGGGAAAAGATTGTATTCCATCAACTGTCTTTCACTGTACCAACAAGACCTGCTTTCAGGATTAATTGTTATGATTATCTTTATAACTAGCACATTTGTGGATCACTTTGAGTCCATTTTTTAAAAAAATATACTCTGTGGAAGGAGAAATGGGTAAGAGCTTTTTTTGTCAATTTGTAGATAAGCAGCAAAGATGAAGATTTTTTAGATCTCTCTGTTGATGTGGAGCAAAATACTTCAATTACTCACTGTTTAAGGTATGAGGTGTATGGCTATCAGACTCTTGATTCTGTGCTTTCTTGCATGACTGAAAGTTCATTTAAGAGATGAAGTAGTTAAAACTGCATGCTTTGTTAGATGAATCTAAGTTTGTACTAAGTGTAGCAAGCCTTTGCATTTCACGTCTCAGCAGACTTAGTGCTAACCAAACTGACAATTAAAGATAGATCCAGGTGGGGTAGCCGTGTTGTTCTGAAGCAGCTGAACAAAGTTCAAGCCCAGTGGCACCTTTAAGAACAACAAAGTCTTATTCAAGGTATAATCCACACGAAAGCTTATACCTTAAATAAAACTTTGTTGGTCTTAAAAGTGCCACTGGGCCTGTTTTTTGACCATTAAATACTACATTCGTATTTCCTCTCCTTTGAGACCAGTGTGTCAATCACCATTTATTGAATTTAAGAATGGAATGTCCTTATTGCTGTGGATAGTATCTAGTTTTGTTGGAGGGCTACAGATCAACTGGTATAATTGTGTACTAGTCAAGTGTTCGTTTCTTGCATTTTGATGGGTGTTCTTGTGTTCTAGGGGTTTCAGCAATACAGAAACCCTGTGCAGTGAATATAAATATTATTGTGAGGAATGTCGCAGTAAACAAGAAGCACATAAAAGGTACGAAAATGTATATATGGATGTTAGAGTTTGTTAGCAGGTTATCCAAACAGCTCTACCTGTTTTCTGTTCTGTTATCAGCAAGGATAAATATTTCTGTAGTGCCCAAGGTGTGACTGGAGCTTAATGAGACTGCTTGTTTAAATACGTTATTTCTGCCTCTTACACAGGTACCTAACTTTTTCAATTTTGTTAAATGTTTTCATAATATTTTTAGATCTCTTCACTTTGTCTCCTCCTTCCCTGTTGTCCTTCATTTACAAATGTTGTACTTCTACACTGGCTTATTCTGACCAGTGTTATTCCAAGTAAAATTCACATGGCTGAGTAAAATGTTTTGAGATGGTACCAGAACATGATTTTGTCAGTGGAAAGAAATTCTAAATTACACGAATCCAAAGGAGGACAACTTTGAATGTGTTCATCAACTGCCAGTCTGTGTAGTGGCTCTTATTCTGCGCAGTGACTTGAAAGGTCATAGGTTGCCATAGCCAGTCTTCAACTGGTCATCTGTGACTCACTTACAGGGTCGTTTAGCCTCACCATTTTCTCAAGTACTTAAGGAAAACTAGAGGAGATGAGAGAGCAGGAAATGTGAGGAAAGGGGAAATTGAACAAATATGGTGGAGAAGAGTCAGGTATAGTAAAAGAAATTACACATTGCAAGTTAAAGTCTATCTCTTTTGCATTTTTAATGCATTTCTGCATCCCCAATATGCTACTGCAGCTTTAGTACCATTTCTTAGAGTGTTTGTTCACTGCATGCCCCAGTCAGCTGGGGAATACAATGATGTCAAGGTGCCATGTATCCAGTTAGAATTTAGCTATGTGGCAGCATGGCTGAAGGCAGGGACACCTTCACTCTGAATGGGATGGGTTTCTTAGAATGCATCACAGTTGCCTATTAGCATTGCTTTTTTTCTGTGCTTTTCTGGCAATTTCATTGTCTTCCAGTGCTGCATTGCAAGACTTTTGCTCCAGTCCAAGACTAGTTGGAGCAGACTGTGAATGGGGCTCTGCATCCGATTGCACATCCCACTGAAAATCACATGGTGCAGATGAACAACATCTACATCTTTTGTTTGTATACTTAAGACATTTCTATCATCCCTCTCACCCCAGAGGACTTGGGGTGGACATGATAAAACAAAATAAAAAAGACAACAAACTAAAAACAAACCAACTCAGAATTAAAAATAAACTGCATGTGGATGCTGTTCATTTGCTATATGTAATGTTCGTAGGAGGCATACTTGGATGTGCATTTCTTTTTTATTCTACCTAGCCAGACTACTGTGTGAGAATGGGTCACAGTGGGGAATGCATCATTCATACCCCTTGGGAGCAATATCTCACCCTTCTGTAAACCGATATATAAAGTTGTCAAAACGAATAGGTGCTTTTCAAAGGGGAAGAAAATATTAGCAACATGAACCCACCATTTCTGCCAGCACTGCTTTCAAGTAGCAGCATACCTGAGTATTTAAGGGAGCTGATCCTTCAGAAGCTCTATCCCAAGCTCTCAGACCACTTTTTAATCATAGTACATAATAAAGTTGATGCCTTGCTTTGTACTATATCCACTGGTCCTAATTTGAGTTCGACATTTGGAAGGAGTACGGCAACACTTACCAGGTCTGCCTTGGTGGCCCTGATTGGGCTGAAAGGTGGGGTACACATTTTTTTAAATAAATGATTTTTATCAGGTTTACAGTTTTCTGCAGTCAGAAGGTGATAATGGCTAAGAATTTGTTGATTTAAGTCCATTTTTGGAGGCTTTGTACACACTGTCACAAACTTGAACTGTGATTGTGTTTTGTATATTAGTATATTGATTTACTTTAATTTATTTCAGAATGAAAGTGAAAAAACTACCAATGATTCTAGCTCTCCATCTGAAGAGATTTAAGTACATGGATCAGCTACATCGATACACGAAACTATCTTACAGGGTAGTGTTTCCCTTAGAACTTCGACTGTTCAATACTTCGGGAGATGCTACTAATCCTGACAGGATGTATGATCTTGTGGCTGTAGTAGTTCACTGTGGAAGGTAATAAAATCTGCGTAACAGATAGAGGTAACATGGTACATTACTGCCATCAGTTCATAGACTGATAGTGCTGTCATACTTCAAAAACCCCTTGATGGCATAAAATGTATAGTTACATTGCACCACTGGTTTGGGGAGTATAAATGAGATGAAGAAATGCAATAACTGCATAGCTGTGTCACCGTGGGCCAGTTCTTAACTTACTTGTATGGTGTTGTTTCTGCTTCTGTGAGGTCATATGCCACACTACTCCAGTAATGTTTGAATGCAAACGTCACATAAAATGGGCAGTATGGCATAAGATCCTGCAGCCCCTTGCTGTATATGCTCTGTAGGTTAACAGAGTAGTGTGGGAAGCAGCAGCACTGCTAACGTAATACAGTAATGTGTGGTAAAAATGTTCCAAGTCCTACCCCCCAGCAACATTTCTAAAATGAAGGCTTGTATTGGTGTTAATTCTCTTGTTTTAGTGGGGGTGGGGGTGTCAGGTGGTTGGCACATTTCCAGTAAAGTGTAAACTTCTCTACTTAGTTAACAATAGGGTTGCCAAGTGCTTTTTGAGCCGCAGCAGGGGACTCCTGGCTGGCGGCTGGAGTGCGCACGCACTGCACGCACGTCACCCGGAAGTGACGTGACGATGCCGGGCGCGCTGGGGGCGGGGCCACGACCATCTGAGGGAAAACCATAAAGTTTTCCCTTGGATGACCGTGGCCCCACCCCCAGCGTGCCCGGCATGGTTGCGTCACTTCCAGGTGACGTGTGCACGTCGGGGTGGGGTTCCCCCCGGGGCCCGCTCAGCCGGCGGCGCGGAGCGGGCCTCTGGGGTGGGGGTTTCCCCACCCCCCAGGGGGACTTGGCAAGCCTAGTTAAAAAATATACATCTGTATTTAAATCTATGTATATCATATCTGACGTTCCGGCTCCCACATAGTTTCAGAATTCCTAAAGTGATCATTGCAATACATTGTGAAATCTGTCTCCTAACTAAGACTGGTAGTATTGTGCCAGGAAGAGCAGCAATGAGGCTGGCTGCTGGCTGTACTTTACTTGCAGTTCGTGCCAGCTACACTGGCTGCCAGTGTCCCTCTGGGGCAAATGCAGAATCACACTATCTTTTAACTAGTTTGTTTAGATGGTATTTTTCTCTGGCTTTGAGTATTACATTTGAAGAGCGGCTCTGAATGGTCTGATAAATACTACATGTACACTGTGAGGAGTATGATGACTAGTCCCATCAAGGAATTTTTTTGGAGGGGAAGAAATAGGAAATAAATGACAAGACTCCCCCACCCCATTCCATAACCTTTTAGGCGTTTTGAGTAGGCCAGTCCCCTCCCCACACACACACTGTGTTCCTTTCTTTTTTTCTTTGACTAAGCATTCCAAAAGCAGCAAGCATGCTCAGAATTCAAAAACTGAGTTTTTTCCTGCATCATTAGGGAGTTCTCCAAGTATGCCAAAACCCAGCCTTTTTACACAGGTGCTTCCATTTCACTTCCTTCATGCTAGGCTATCAAAAATAAAGTCTGGTAGATTGAAATCCAGTAGCATCTTAGAGAGCAGCAAGATTTCCAGAGCAGAAAATTTTGAACATCACTGCTCCCTTTGTCAGTCAGCTGGTATAGGAAACAAGTTGGGGTCCTGTTAAGATTTGCTGGAGAATGGGGAAGAAGGGATAAAATCAGGAATTCATCCCCATCCTCCCCAAGATTCAGAGTCATGTTTTTCTGTGTACCAGGTGAGAGACTGTCTTGCCCAGCATATAAAAGTTCTTGCCTTGCCCATGGCTGGTAGTTTAACAATGATTCACAGTGTAGGAGTATACATCAAGGAATGTAGCTATGAAAATGGCTACAAAAATGCAAAAATATTTATAAGAATAATTATCAAATTGTCATTGCATATAATCCACAATATCACAGTAAGAAGCATGTACATTCACTGCTTACTAAACAAAAGATGGTACAGTCTCTAATCGTCGGGCCTGGCTTTGTTGCTTTTGTGATTGGCTAAAGTTGCCCGCTTAATAATTAAGTTACAGGAACAATGATGATATCCCTTTAGTGTGTTTGTGCATCTCAGTGGTCAATGGCCATGATGAGCATGTTTCCCTTCTTTGCAGTGGACCTAACAGAGGACACTACATTGCAATAGTGAAGAGTCATGACTTCTGGTTGCTCTTTGACGATGATATTGTAGAGGTAAGGACGGTGGTAAATCTAGACACAAAATATCTTTTGCACTAGTAGTTCAGGAACCGGGCTCTTTTTTGGCCAAAAAATGCTGGCTGTTGATATCTGTTTTCCAAAGCTTTGTCTTTTCTTCTATTCAATAACTACGAGGAGCCTTTCATAATAGCAGTCTCTGAGCCTGTAAATTGTCTCGTTTATTGCAAAGTTGAAAAACTTCATAAAACATAATAAAATTAGGATGGGCTTTGAAAATGATAACCATTCTGTTTTCTTACAGAAAATAGATGCACAAGCTATTGAAGAATTCTACGGGTTGACAACGGACTCCTCTAAAAACTCTGAGTCTGGTTATATCCTCTTCTATCAGTCTCGGGACTGAATAGGATCTGTGGTGAAGATGGCTTCATTTCTGGCTGTTGTGGAAAGGAAAAAAGCACTGATTCTTTTCTTTTTCTTTCTTTCTTAATTTTTTATTTTTGGGGGGTAAAAGGAATGCAGGGAGTCAAAGGGGTGGCAGCACGGTTTGCACAGGACAAAACAAAGATTTCAACGAGGCTTTTAAAAACTCTTCATATCATGTTCATTTAATTTCGCTCAGGTTTCATGGTGACAGTGTGACCCACCACAATTGCCCAGTGGGAGCCAGTGACAGCTAGTCCTGTAAGGGTTTGCCACCAAGCAGCTGAACTGTATCTTGATTTGATCCAAAGTCCATGTCAGTGGAAGCACTTTCCTATTCTCCAGAATACTTTGAATTTTGGCCAGTGTTGCACCAAAAGCAAGTGCAACAGAAGCAATATAAATCTGACATACTAATTCACATGCTTATTTTTTATTATGAGAAGTGCAAATTATTTGGGGGTTTGTTTGTTTGTTTGTTTGCTAATACTCAGTTCTAAAAATATAATTTTTCCTGATTTTCCTGCATGCCTAAATTAGAGAGAGTTAGCCTAACAGTTGCCTTCCTGGCCAGAATAAATTAATAGAATTCGATATTTAAGCTACAATCAAGAAGGCAAGTATGTTTTGCTTCCTTTAAGAAGCTTACATTACAGTAATATGTACCTCTATGATTGGGAACAGTTTGGGCTTTTAAGCTTCCTATGGGGAAGAACTATAGCTTATTTTTATTTATGCATTACTGTAACTTCCGGAGGTTGTATATTTTGTATTCTCCTCAATTTCAACAAGTTTTGGAACCTAGTTTTGTATATTAGCTTGTATCAGATTTGAATCTTATTTCATTGTTCATCAAAGAGAATTATTTCAACTCTTACTAAGATACCTTCAGAATCTAGGAAAGAGATGTGATTTTTATCTCTTCTGCAATGAACTGGTATGTTTGGCTATATTGACACAATTCATTCTGAGAGTCTGAAATGGAAATTTTCTTCTGAGGCAATAAAAAGATTACTTGTTCCATTACAATTTGATGCTGGGGTGGTGAGCCAGTCATTTTCTTATTTAAAGAGTTTGACAGTAGGCTAGAATTGCACATCCTTAAGTTCCAGTAGAACTGGGGAGGCTAAGATGGTGGTATTGCTTGGTTTAATCGCAGCATTAATATTATGAATTAACCAACATGATATTCTGAAGGTATTTTACACTGTTCAGTCTGTAGTTGGGACAGAAATGAAAATCTCAGGTCCTTCCTGGATTATTTCATTTAAAATTGGTGAATAGTTGGAAGACTCCTTGCAGTCCTGTGATAGCTATACCAGTAAATTCTAAATGTTAGTAAAATTGCCTCTGAGATTTGATTTATTACAGCAGAAGTGATAATAGAGCTGAGCTCTTGTGATGGATACTTCCAGTCATTACTATGTTGGCTGACAGTGGCTGAATGTAACTTCTTGGGTAGGAAAAGGCTGAGCATACATTCCTAATGAGTAATCATGCCTATTAATTTGGCATCCTATTTCAGAATGTGGGTTTTCCCCCTTGTAGTTCTTGTTTTGTTTAAAATGTTAAAAGTTTTCTGTTTGCTGCTATAGTTAATGCGTTTACTTTACACATCTGTTAGCTCAGGAAAATGACTTTCACCTCTTCATGTAACAGATTTTTTAACAGGGTCACCAAGTGAGCTATTTAACAAATGTGAAAAGATCATATCAAACTGTAAAGAGTTTTTTTTATAAAATGTTTTGAAGTTTTTGTCTTGAACACTCTTTTGTATGAAATAATGTTGCTTGGCTCCAAACGAGGATTGGAAAAATTAGCAATTTAGCAAGTCTTTGAGAAGAGTAGATCATAGCTCTGCAGGCTACTTTTACACGAGTCCTTTAATGTTAAATATTTCTTCAGCCGTCCAATAGGAAAAGTGTGCGGTCAGTCATACTGTATTGCATACTGAAAAAAGTGCACATCCTTGCCACATATTATAAAGCAGTGTTAGTAAAAGATACCAGTACAACAACAGTAACATTATGTTTCTTCAGGAATGAGTCATGACATTAAGACCAAGCAGAGTGGCTAAGCAACAGAAACTGAAGTACCTTTTTAACCATCAATTCCATGATATATTGCAACTTTGTTTGATCCAGTACTTCATAGGACACATGTGTGCTCTGAAAAGTATCCAGAATTGTAAAGAGACACAATATTAAGTGTAACCAGGTCCAAATATCTGTTTTTCTGGCATGTTTTGTATTTACATGAATTTAACCTTGTTGCAAATCGGTAGGGAAAATCCACTAAGATGTCTAAATGTGATTGGCCATCCAGTGGTTGGCAGGCATTTAATTTCTAAAGGTAAAGGTAAAGGTAAGCAGGTCTACGCAGTACTTTGTATGAGAGAACCTAGAAACTCAGAGATGCTGCTGTGAGCTCTGTGGAGAAAGGATGGGATTGAACATGGCTTATGGATCTTAATCGCTTGCCATACTTAGTTCATACATGGGACTTCATAAAAGGAACAATGACTTCTACGATGCATTTTAGTAGATGACATTGTTTCACAGCACTGTTTTCTAGACCTTGATCAAGAGTTTGACATTGCAACTGCCTAACATACAGAGTTTAAAAAAACTGTATTGGAGCTGATGGTTTCTTTCCACTAGATGAGGAATCTTTTGAAAGAACAGCTCCTCGTTTAGTGGAAGGGAACCATTCAATCCAAGCCAGTGTTTTGACTGTCTTCCTTGAGCACCTTATCTCTATGCCGTATTACATCTATCTTGGGAACTCCCATCTATTCCAAGAATAGTTTCCCTTGCAGGAGGGGAAATTACTCTCAAGAAGAACACAGTCAAAGCCCTTTCAGGCTCACAAAACTGGTTGGATGGCTCTTAGGATCCTGAACATGACATTTGTACTAGTGATGTTGAAAATGCATAATTTTTAATGTCAAGAGTTCTGTCCATCAAACTGATGCCTAATTTAAGAAACAGTGAATGCTTTGTTCAATATGCTAGTCACAGTTCAACCACTTTTATAGGAAGACATTGAAACATAACATAGAACAATAACATGTAATACAGAACATCTGCTTGCCCTTGAGCTCACGGATCCATAAATTCCTTCCTAATAGTAAAAACATAAATTGATCATTTGCAGAATGACTGGCATCTTGAGGATATGGGGACAAATGTCTTCAGTGTAAATGAAGCAAATGTCCCAATGCTGGTGTAAAGGATTATTGGAACTGTAGTTTAGTCTTTTATGTTTGGGTAAGAAGTCTGGTATGTTTTCAGAGCAAAGTTCAGTATTCTGTACAGAACCTACTTATGATCTCTCTGCTTTAATTTTCAGCTTTGTGTCCTCAAACTTTAGAAACAGATCTTTAATTTTTTGCTTTGCTTCATGTGTAATAAATCTAGTGTAGAAAACCTGGGTCTGGTGATTGTCATAGAACATTTTCTGATTGGTAAGCAGGTCAAATGTTACTGACGCTGTACTCTATTTTACAATGCTTTGGTTTTATTAAGCTGTGGTCCATTTGTATGTTTCCCTTTTATTGTTTATCTTACGACATGGAAGTCTTTTCTACTTTAAACCTTAAAAACACATCTGGCATTTGTCTGAAGCCTCTAACTTCATTTTGTTCTTTGATACTAGCTGACCAAATGGCAAACTGAGACAGAACAGCATGTTGAAATAAATGTCCTCGTTGATCATATCTGGGGATGTCAAGTTGGTTCTTGCATCAAGAATGATATACTTGTATACAGGGCTGTACTTGTGAATAGGGAAGAAGAAGAATATACAGGTTGTAGGGCAAAATATTCCTTCAGACGTGGATGTTGCAAAGCGGTCTTGGATCAGGGTTCTTTAGAACTGGAATGTGGGAATATTGGAGTGTAAGAGTGAGATTACTTTTGACCTTATTAATACAGTGGTTTCCTGTCATGGGAACAGCATGCATCCAATGAGAGTGTACTCATTTGAGCCTCTTACAGGAAGATGTCTATGTATCTTGATTACTTATTCTAAGGACATTTTTATTTTGAATACGGAGTTTTAGAATTAGAACCTATGATTCTTTTCCTCTTATCAGCAGAACCTTATTCTGAAACAAAGCCTTCCTCCTAAAATCAAACTCTAAAGTCTGTATGATTCTGTTTGCTGCTATTTCAGATTATAACCCACAGATGCAGCATTAGGTTTTGGTTGGTATAAAATGGGTCTTCAACCTTTTTGAACCTGTGGGCACCTTTCAAAATCTCACACAGAGTGGTAGGCACAACTACAAAATGGCTGCTGCAGCTGGCAGAGCTACGCACACAGAGGAAGCTCAAGTGCAGAGGAGAAGAGAGAATTTAAAAATACGCCGGGAGAGAGGCGTGGGAGAGAAGAAAACCAACACTGCGCTCTCATCTCCCACTGAAACATTATTTTAATCTGCACAGCCAGCCAATCAGAAGCCCTGCTAGATAAGAGCCCCACGTGACCACACCCACTTTCTTAAAACACTTCATGGGCACCAGGAAAAGTGTTGGCAGGCACCATGTTGGGGACCTATGGTATCAAAGAAACCATTCACTAAAAAAAAAGGGAGTTGCATATTGAACCTGTATGTGAGAAGATCTGTTTATCAATTATGGTCAGCATGTGGATCTACACAGGGCAAGTGGCCCTTTGAACCAGCTGCCCAATGCCCATAGACTCAACATATACTTGTCAGAGCTAACCTATTACTGAGTTTAGCCTTGCAGCATGGTTTGCAGGTCTCATCTCCAGCAAAATGGAACACAGAAATCATGCAGTAGATGAGGTTAGACAATTAGTGCTTGAACTGCTTGTCCTTAACTTCAGACACACTGTTTGGTGTAGTGGTTAAGTGCGCGAATTCTAATCTGGGAGAACCGGGTTTGATTCCCCACTCCTCCACTTACACCTGCTGGATGACCTTGGACAAGCCATAGTTCTGGCACAGCTGTTTTTGAAAAAGAGCAGTTCTCGAAAGAGCTCTCTCAGCCCCACTTACCTCATAGGGTGTCTGTTGTGGGGAAGGGAAAGGAGTTTGTAAGCCGCTCTGAGACACCTTGAAGGGCATGGTATAAATCCAATCTCGTCTTCTTAATCACAGCATATCTGCCACCTATAGTCTTGGATTTTTTACTCATTGTCTTACGGGCAGCCAAATTTAATAGTTTCAGCTGAGAAATGAGAGTTGGAAACTGCCAAGCCTCAGCTGCTTGATATAAACACCCTGCTTCATAAAAAAATTTACGCACTGATGTTACACATGGATTTTATGTACCATAAATGCTCAAGAACTGAAGCTTGCAAACCAAACATGGTACGTGGCTAAAAATCACCAGCTGAGAGCAAACTAGCTGACAAGAGTACGGGAACATTTCAGCAGTGCTGGCATCTTCCCAAATAAAGGGCAGCTTGCCCAAGCTGGGAAGAGTTTAGGCTCATTGCAGAGTGTCATTGCTTTTGTTTTGATTCAAGACCAGATGACTCAGTGATGGATTATGAGCCAGTATGAAAATAACCAGCTCTTGTGAGTTCATACTGGCTCGTAATTTCTATAAAGTGGGTCCTGTAGAGCCACTGGAGGTTTTAATGAGTGAGGAAAGCCCAAGACGGCATGTACTGTTTAATTTTTAGGTGACCTAATTCAGCGCTTTGCACACTG